AGTATTGTGTCCATCTACAACTAATAAAAAAAGACTACTGAAAAACTGAGAGTGGTTTTCACTTTTAGAAAGCAAACTTTAAGCCATAAAAAGGGCTTTTCATATTATGGTTATGTTTTACTGAAATAAACTGAGAAACAACAGTTCCTAAAGACAAAGGTACTCCAAGTTCTGAACCTGCAAAGTACTCAGTTTATTCTAACTTAAGTCTAACAAACCTCATTGCTCTTTTAAATGACCAATAGAAATAGCCGTTCTTTTCACTACCTGATAAGGTTCTCTCCAACAACATACAGTGAATTATCTGTGTTCCCTCTCTCCTTTGGAAAAAGTATTTAAGTAAAATATTTTTAATAGCATCTATCTCTTCTTGCCTTAATGTTCCCAGAAAAATAGAGGGCAAGGATGGCAATACTGAATAACCATATTATTCAAAAACATGTATCATACCTATAACCCCTAAAATAACACACTGTGACATTTTACACAGCTGCATAACTGGATTATTTTTTAGGCCTTGCTTAATACTTTATATATATGTTATACATCCAAGGTAAGGGGCCATATTTACTTTGGTTTCAATCTGATTTAAAGGTGATGCTTAAAACAGGGGTTGAGGATGTAGTTCAGTGGTAAAGTGCTTTCTTAGCATGAGCAAGCCTTGGCTTCCACTCCAAGCAATGAAAAAAAAGTGATAAAACATTAAGTTAAAAAACATCCTCTCCCATTCTGTTTCTCAATAATGGGATACAAAGCTACAGGAAATCAACCACTTTCTTCCTGAGCTCCTAGTGGGCAGCCCGTCCTAATTCCTTAGGTGAATTCACTGCAGGTGAAATGGTGAGCTTGATAAAGGGGGTTGGGGGAGGGTCTCAATGGACTCAAGAGCAGCTCTATTCTGCCAACACTTAAGTTCCCTCAAGAGACAAGGAAAATAGGGCTGGAATTGTGGCTCAGCGGTAGAGCGCTCACCTAGCTGCGGTGGGACCCGGGTTCGATCCTCAGCACCACACAAAAATAAAATGCATTGTGTTGTGTCCATCTACACCAAAAAATAAATACTAAAAAAAAAAGACAAGGAAAATAACCCTTTTTGCAGGTTAGTATTATCAAGCTACAAACAAAAACTTTATACCCTACCTTCTAGACTAATAAGGGTTAAGGATTTCTCATGATTGGCATGATTCCAAAATCAGCTAGTCCCAAAGATCTCCCTGGTCCACTATAGCATACTTAGGAGTTAACATCAAAGAACTGGCTGGTCCCCAACGCTGCTATGGAGTACTATGATCCCAGGATTCCCACACCTACTGCACATCTGCTGCACATCTGAGGCCCTTGATAAAAATGTATGTTTTCATGTGTATCAAGATTACATTTTACTGTATGTATGATAATTTTTTTTAATTAATTTAGGCCCTTCTGCATGAAAGGGGGGTGGGGTGGGTTGGAGACAATTTTTAAAACATCTTACAACCACAGCTCTGGATTACATCACATATGCTTTCCCCCAGTCCCAAAATGGGGATCAAGAACATTCTTGGTCTAAAATCAGACACCTAGAATCAAAACCAGCTCTAGGCTGGTAGAATGCTCAGTAGCAGAGCAGTTATATAGTAAGTTCATGGCCCTGGGTTCCATCCTGAACACTGAAAAAAAAACCTCCATCACTAACTCAATAAGGCCTGGCCTTGGACAAAGGGACAATTTCACTGAGCCTTTTCCTCATCTAGAAACTGGGAATTAAAAAAAAAAAAAAAAAAAAACACCTACCTCACAGGGTATATAAGACCAAAGGGAGATGTTTATAAAATATCAAAACAAGCACTCAGAAAATGGTAGCTATAATGATTACTACTATCTTATTTCCATGTTTTTTGTTGTTGTTGTTGTTGTTGTTGTTGGCTTGTTTCGTTTTGCAGTGCTGGGAATTGATTGAACCCAGCACCTCATGAATGCTAGGTCAGTGTTATACCAACAGAGCTACATTCCCAGCCCATGTTTCCATTATTTTTAATCCATCTTTATTAGATATTTTTCTCAGTCCTAAGACATACACCCCAATTAAGTCAAAACTTTTCAAGAACACAGACATATGCCTAGCCTCATCCCTAATTATTCTGATGCAGAAAGTCTAAAAGAAGGACCAGTAGTCTGGGAACCATACTGCTCTAGGGACATGTGGTAGCAGAACTTGACTAACTAGGGCCATGAAAATTCTAAGACAAACTAGTTTCCTTCTAATTTCAAATAATAACTAGACTCTGTGCTCTTAGACAAGTAACATAAGGACATCAGAACAAGATTTTCCAACCCCAACCAAAAGGTGGCACCTTTCCATAGCCAAATGTGCCAATAAAGACAAAAGATTTCATCTTCATGGAATTCTCAAATTTAAAACTAAAGTACATTCTTGAAGGATTTAGCAGCAATGAACTGCATCTCCATCTAACAGGTGCACCCCAGGATAATATAAGAAGTGCAAATCAAAGGAAAAATAATATATTGTTTATCTCTTTTTCAGGTCTTATTATCTGAAAGATGATTTCATAATTTGTCAGAGAAAGCAATGAAGGTGAACACAATGAATATCGGACACCAAATCAAAACATAAATCCTATAACATGACTATTTATCTTCTTAGTTCTTTAAGTTTCAAAGCCACTTTAAAATGCCCACATGCGCCCCCCCCCCCCCAGCCCCTGCTGCCCCCTGCCTAAACCAGTTTTCCAGAGGGATCTTAGAGTGGCCTGAACTTGAATGGCAGTTTTTCTAATTCCTCTCCCCAGATTCTGATTCTAAAGATAAAGAATTGAGCCCAGGAAATGTGCATTCTTAACTCTGGTTATTTTTATGCTCAATACTTGAAAGTACTTCCATAGTACAAGTAAGAGCCTTGAGCTCAAAAGATCACGCTTGTGTGGTCTTAGAGCAATCAAGATACAACTAAATGAACATCAACAATTCAGTAAAACACAGTGGTTAGAAGCAGAAGCAATGAAGCTAGAATTCCTGAGTTTACATTTCCTTTGTTTTCTTTTCCTTTTCACACTCCCAGTTCTGAGGATTGAAACCAGGGCCTTGAGCATGCTAAACAAGCATTCTAACACTAAGCAACATGTTCAACCCTTTTTTAAAGTTTTATTTTGAGAGTAGGTCTCACTAAGTTGCCTAGGTTGGCCTTGAATTTTGGATCCTCCTGCTTCAGCCTCGGAGTAGATGGGATTACTAGTATGCACCAACAGTCTGGGCCTGAGTTTACAGTTCTATCCCACCACATACTAACCAATCAACACCGGGCAAACATGACCATTTTCTCATCTGTAAAATGAATGGAATACTACCTACTTACCTCAGAGCTTTGAGGACTAATGAGTTATTAAAGACCTTAGAAAAGTACTGACCCATGCAAACATCCAAAATACAACACTTATGATCCTTGTGGTTAATGATCACAAACAGCTCTCTATATAGCTGTGTTTCTTACTTGCTGAATCTCTGAAATTTACACACACATCTTCAACCATGTAATACAAAATCATGAAGGAACCTGGGCATGGTGGCACATGCCTGTAATCCCAGCAGCTTGGCAGGCTGAGGCAGGAGGATGGAGAATTCAAAGCCAGCCTCAGCAAACACTAGGCACTAAGCAACTCTGAGACTCTGTCTCTAAATAAAATACAAAATAGGGCTGGGGATGTGGCTCAGTGGTTGAGTGCCTCTGAGTTCAATCCCCGGTACCCAAAAGAAAAAAAGAAGAAGAAAAGAAAAGAAATGTAGAAGAAGAAAAACACATGAAGGAACTAATGGTTTGCACTATTCAAAATCAGGTGCTTCTCAAACAAAACAAAAACTAGGTAACTAACTCTGATACTGGAATCAGTTGAGACTTTTTTCCAAATCTCTTGCAAGATGGGAAAGGACGAAAGAACTGAAAATTCCCAAACTTTCTTTAGCAAAACAGAGCTACATTTAATCACCCAAATCACAAATGACAAAAGAAAAAGCAAATTGAGTGGTTGAGACTAACAGAGTTCACCCACTTCCTGCCACTTAACCTCATTCTCACAATCTGCATTTAAGCAAGTCAATTTCCTCAAATAGGAATTTAGCAACCACCACCATCAGCAAATCTACCCCGCTACAATGTAAAGCTCATATTACAGTATCAGGGCAACTGATACTTTCAACAGTAGCAATGGCTGTGAGACAGCAGTCTTGAAATGAAGACCTGTAAAAGGGAGGGATGAAAAGAAAATGCAGAAAAAGAAACCTGGTTATAAAACGGAGAAACACGTTCTCTGGGAAAAGCAAATGCAACTCCCAAGGCAAAATTCAGGAAGATGTAGTCTCCCTTCAAAACTAAAACCCGTAATGCCCAAAATGCTACAGCCCTGAATCGTGACTACCTGCAAATAGATGGAAGGAAAACAAGAGATATCTGGGTGTGAGATGACCTGAATTCTCAAGGGAAGAAAAGCAGCCAAACCTTAGAGGTGCAAGAAACCGGGAATCCACTTTTAGGCTGGGAGCGACTCGGGGGCGGTTAATCATTTTCCGCTAAGCTCGAAATGGCAAGATAAAAAGGATTTAACGTCTCGGAAAGCAGGTCTCTGGAAATCCACGGAAGACAGACACCGAGGAGTCAAAGGATTTGGGGGGAGGGGAGAAAGGCGATGAAAATGAATCAAATCAAAAGAAGCCTTCTAGAGGACCAAATCATGTGACTCTCTGGAAAAGAACGCCCGAGGAGCTAAGGAGAGGGAGGAAGGGTCCTGGCACTGCAACAAGGGGGAAGCGCAGACCAATGGCCGCGAGGGCCCGACGGGGGCCCCAACTCTGAAGGCTCCGCGATAGGGGAACTCGAGCCCTCTAGCCCAGCATCAGGCCACGCACCAACGTGGGACCACCGTGCGGGGGCACTGTCCACGCGCGGGAAAAACGGCAGCCGGGAACGAAGGGGGCTGGGCGAGCCGCAGGGCGCCCCGTGGGGCACTTACGCGGCCGCTTTTTCCGGAGGCTTTCGACGCGCGGGCGGGGGACCGAGGCAGGGTCGCTGTAGGAGTTGGGCCGATCCCGCCTCACACCATCCGCCGAGGCCCCGATAGCAGGCGCCGACGCGCTGCTCGCCCGGCGCCGCAGTGGCTCCCGCCGCCGCCCTTCGGGGCCCCCGGGCGCCGGCTCCCCAGCCGACGAGGCTGAGGTGGCGGCGGCCCTGCCGTGGCGCTCCATGGGCGCGCCGAGCCGGCCCGCTCCCATCCGCAGCAGCCACCGCTGCCGCCCGAGCCAGCCCCCCAGCGCCGGAATCCTCCTGCCTCCTCCGCGGCAGTCCAGCCTGTGCAGAGGCGCACCCTGGGCCGGCCGCCTCTTCCGTTGCGCCAAGGCACACCAAGCCAATCCAAGTAGGCTAGGGGCGGCCCAAGGGCCTCTCGTCCAATCGAATCTCTGACTCAAGTTGGATCGACCGCGCCCCCGTCCAATGAGATTCTCCCAGGACGGGGCGGGGCAAAAGGTGGCKGAGGAGAGGAGTATCTGGGCTCCGCGGAGGAGGAGGTGGTGTCGCGGAGAGGGGAGTGATGGCGGCGCTGCCCAATGGGCGCGTGGGTGGAGGGGCCGAACTCCTTCCTCCCTACCAGTCTCCCCCACCCGGGGGCAGGTCGGTGCCCCGGCCTCCGGAACTCTCCCGGGACGCCCTCGTGTCCCCTCTYGCTGCTCCTTGTGCTCCCTCCTGGCTCGTGCCGTCCTGCCATCCTCCAGCCCAGTAGAGGCCCCTCAGCGACTGGCCTCCAGTCGTTGGCAGATGCAAGGGCTTGAACCGCGACGGACATAAGCCTTTGTCCCTGGGTCTGGTTCCGCAGCTACCCTCGAGGCCTCCAGCCCCTCCGCATTATTTTGCACTTAGACTCCCTCCCCTAGCTTGTTTCAGCTAAGCCCCTCTCCTATTCCGGCTGCGCTGGAGAGATGTTCCGGGTACCAGAAGGAATAAAAGGACTGGGGTTGGTCTCCATGGCAACTGGAGGAAGGAGGAGGGATATAAATCCTTCACCATCCTCCTGTGGTGAAGGAGGGTGTGTGGGAGCCAGGAAGTTGGGTTGGCTTTTTGAAGGAGACCCAGAGCCACTTCGCTGTGGTGTAATGGGGGACATAGAAGGATTTGGCGGCCGCCTTGGAACTTGGATTTTTTCCTCACTTTAGTCGTCTTCATTTTTCTTTTAAAGAGCAAAAATGTTACAGCCCAGAGACCCCAGTATCTTTTGTATACCAAAAGCCCTTCCAGGCATTCCTTCCACCTAAGGCTGCCTAAGCTCTATATCCCCAAGGTACTTCCTCAGCCCCGTCAAGTTTAAGTGGACTGTGATCTTATATTGCTTGCTAATTATCCAATAAGTGCCTACCCGAAGACTCTATATTGACCCTTGGGCCATAGCCCTTCTTTTTATTATTATTATTTTTTAAAAAAATTATGAAAGCGGAATGCATTACAATTCATATTACAGGCGCTGGGGTGGTGGCTCACTGATAGGGCACTTGCCTAGCATGTGTGAGGCCCTGGGTTTGAGTCTCAACGCACATATAAAGTAAAGATCCATTTACAACTAAAATAAATATATATTTTAAAAAACATCAATTCATATTACACATATACAGCACAAGTTTTTCATATCTCTGGTTGTATACAAAGTATATTCATACCATTTGTATCTTCATAGATGTACTTTGGATAATGATGTCCATCACATTCCACCATCATTTCTATCCCCATGCCCCCTCCCTTCCCCTCCCACCCCTCTGCCCTATTTAGAGTTTGTCTATTCCTCCCATGCTCCCCTCCCTACCCCACTATGAATCAGCCTCCTTAGAGAAAACATTCGGCATTTGTTTCTTTGGGATTGGCTAACTTCACTTAGCATTATCTTCTCCAACTCCATTTACCTGCAAATGCCATGATTTTATTCTTTTTTATTATTAAGTAATATTCCATTGTATATGTATGGCACATTTTTTTGTATCCATTCATCTACTAAACGGCCATAGCCTTTCTTTTCTTCACGTCTCCCATCATGACTGGTAGTAGCAGGCCGAACAAGAAGATTAAGTTTCCTGGAATAGAATTTCCATGATCATTCCAGAGCACCTCTCCCTGTAGGAATGATTGGAAACCGTATTTCCTAATTTGAAATTTCAGCTTCTTCAGAAGCCACCCCAGATGAACCTCCTAGAATCAAAAACACCTGTAGCTATTCTTCTACATATTAGTGCCCAACATCGAATATCTCTCTGCCTCCTACCCTTACCCCCAAAATATGTTCTTCCTTGACTTGAGGGAACTTCCATCTAAGTTTGTGAATTCTCATAGATCATCCTGAAGAACCAAAGAATCATCTTCATCATCTCTTGGCTACCAAGAGGCAATCCAACATCAAAACAGTGCCAGGAAACTGTATAGTGTTTTTGCAGTCACCAAGTGCCTTCACATCTCACTTTATTCCAACAGAAAGATGTGAATGATAAGGCATATTATCCAAAATACACAGCTTTCAAAATGACAGAGGTCTGGGGATGTAACTCAGTGGTACAGAGCTTGCCTGGCAGAGAGGAAGCCCTTTGGTTCCATCCCCAGCACAGGGAGGGAAAAAAATGATACCCTAGACTCCTGAGAAGTTCAGCTACTGTCTGCCTTTTGATTACCAATAGAAGGAACAGATTCAGTGAAATTCCAATAAATACTGACTTTTTCTCCTCCTAAATACGTGTATTAGTCTTCACCTATTGTAGTGTATTTGTGAACTTGCTGACAATCTGGCAATTATTAAAATTTATCTAAAAAGATGAAGCATATACCAATAGCAACAAGATAGCTTGTTTCTAATCCTAAATCAGAAATGCAAATAAATTGAGCAAAATAAACCAAAAACTAAAGAATACATACTGAGTCAACCGAGGTAGTGTATGCCTGTAATCCCAACAACTCAAGACTGAGGCAGAAGGATCAAAAGTGCAAGGCCTGCCTCAGCAACTTAGGCCCTAAGCAATTTAGTGAGACCCTATCTCCAAATAAAAAATAAAAAGGGCTAGAGATGTAGCTCAGTGGTAAAGCACCCCTGGGTTCAATCCCCAGTATCAAAAAATAAAATATGTATATTTTGTATACACACACACACACACACACACACACACACACACAAACACTGCTGTATGGTTCAGATATTAAGTTCAGATGCTGGGGATACATATAGCTTAGTGTTAGAGCACCTGCTAAGCATGTTCAAGTGCTCAAGGCTCTGGATTGGATCCCCAGCACTACAATAAATTAATTAAGTTCAAAATCAATAGAGGATATGAGAGGTGAGGATGATGATTACTTTAGGGAAAGAAGGAACGAAGTAATGAAAGGGACCAGGAGGCTGGTGATGATGTTTCCTTGATGGTTGGTGGTTACATAAGTGTGTTCACTTTGTAATATTTCATCAAGATGTTAACTTATGATTTGTGCACTTTTCTGTATATACGTTATACTTAAATTATTTATTTTTGAAAAGAGTAATTGAATATTTGCCTTGGAGCAAAGTAAGTAAACAACTCCATGAGTAAGCTTAGATTTTTATTTTTGAAAAGTGAAATTGTTGGCCAAGTGGTGGTGCCCACCTGTAATACCAGCAATTTGGGAAGCTGTAAGCAGGAAGATTGCAAGTGCAAGGCCCTAAGCAAATTAGCAAGACCTTGTCTCAAAATTAAAAAATAAAAAGGGCTGGGGATGTGGCTCAGTGGTTAAGATCCCCCCCTGAGTTTAATCCCTGGTACCAAAAAAGAAAGAAAAGAAAGAAAAAAGAAATTGTTGCCAGGCACAGTGGTGCATGCATGTAGTCCCAGCTACTCAAGAGGCTGAGGCAGGAAGATTACAATTTTGAGGCCAGAGTGGGCAACTTAACAAGACTATCTCAAAAAATTTTAAAGGTCCGGGATTGTGGCTCCGTGGTAGAGTGCTTGCCTCACAAGTGTGAGGCACTGGATTCGATTCTCAGCACCACCTATAAATAAATGAATAAAATAAAGGTCCATCAACAACTAAAAAAAAATATTTTAAAAAAATTAAAAAGAAAAGAAACAAAAGTGATTGGGGTTATAACTCAGTGGTAAAGTGCTCCTGGTTTTGATCTCCAGTACCACCACCACCACCACCCCAAAAAAAGTGAAATCATCACAGAAGGAGATCCAAGGATTCCTGGGAGAAGGGAATCTCAACTCAGGACAAGTGAGCTTCTTGACAAAGATAGCAGAAATTAATTTAAGAATGTGTCAGTGAAAGGCACAGAAATCTATTTTGGAGAACAAGAAATGCACATTTAAGGAAAAATGCAGACCATTTTGAGACTGAGAGACACTTTGGGGGTTCTCAGGCTCTTCTTTTAAAGGTTTATGGTATTCTTGTCAATCTTAGGATCCTTAGGCTGACGTGATCTTCATTATTTGGTCAGTAGATAACACTGGAAAGTACCCTAGAGATTATAAATTTCCTAAAATACCCTACTTCTTTGCTTAATCTGTTTATTACATGGTGTAATTAACAGTGCACAGGTAATTTTCATAACTGGATGAATTTAAAGTAACTCCAAAGATTTATAGATTTCCCAGAAATTTGAGAGTGATAAGCCTGGAGGAACTAATGTGGAAAGTGACAGGCGTGGAAAGTTCTGCAGAACTTCACATTAAATTTATATTTCCTTGTCCTTCCTTTTGTCTCCTTTTTATTTATTCTATTTTTTCAACTTTACTTCACAATGAAAGTAGCAATTAAGAAGTTTCACTTCTCCATGGTTATTATAATAGATTTTTTTAATTTTTTTAGATAGCATTATTAAGTTCTTTATCACTCTTCTAAGTCCAGGAGAAGCCATTTTTCTGGTGTATACTGCAGAGTAAACAGCAAATGGACATGGTAAGCATAGTACTTCAGAGGAACTCACCTTATGCTAAAGGAAGGCCTTGCAAATCTAGAACCATTTCTATAATGAAACATCGTACAAATCATTCATCTATCATGTTAGTTGCCTATTGCTGGGTAAAAATAACCCCCAAACTTCAACTGAGGCAGTAATAAATATTTATGTATTATCTCAGTTTCTGAGAGGAAATCAGGAGTGTCTTAGCTGGGAGATTCTGGCTCGGGGGCTTCTAAGAGGTTGCAGTCATTTGAAGATGTAATGGACTGGAGGATCCTGCCTAGTTGTCATCCGGCTGATAAAGTAGTACTGGCTATTGGCAGGAAGTCTCAGCTCACCAGTTGAGTCTCCAAAGGGTTGCTTGAGTATACTCACAGTGT